AAATAGAGTTTACAGATTTCCTTTTATAATGCCATGACAATGTAAAAAGTTTTAAATCTTCATCTATCTATGCACACACACATGTTTTTCAAGCCTTCTGAAGTATATAATTTTAATGAAATAAAGGATAGTATGTCAGAGAATAAGTTTAAGCACGCCACATTAACTTGCTCCAAACTTTCCTGTGCCAAGGACTTCCCATTTCACTTTGGGGTCACACACCTCCCCCATCCCCATTACACCTCGAACTTTAATTCCTGCTATTCTTTCCTTCCTCACTCACTGGCCTCCTTGTATACCTGAACAACACCAGAAGTATTCTCAAGCCAGAACGTTTTCATTTGCCCTTTCTCTGTCTGGAATACTTTTACCCGGACATTCACACAGCTTGTTGGACAATGATCTTATTTATTCAGATGTCACGTAGTGAGGCTTGTTGTGCTGTCCTCGGTCTTTAAAAATGCAGTCAGACAGGCGCACCTGGGTGGCTCAGTCGGTTAAGCATCTGAACTCGGCTCAGGTCATGATCTCACAGTTCGTGGGTCTGAGCCCCGCGTCGGGCTCTGTGCTGACACCTCAGAGCCTGGAGCCTGTTTCCGATTCTGTATCTCCCTCTCTCTCTGCCCCTCCCCTGTTCATGCTCTGTCTCTGTCTCAAAAATAGGTAAACATTCAAAAAATAAATAAATAAAACTGAAAATGCAATCAGACAAAGAAAAATACCATATGATTTCACGTATATGTGAAACCACTTATATGTGGAATCTAAAAAACAAAAGAAACAAAACAGAAACAGACTCCCAGATTCAGGAAACAAACTTGGTTACTGTATGGGTTGGGGTCGGGGGATGGGCAAAATAATTGAAGGGAATTAAGAGCTACAAACTTCCTGTTATAAAATAAGGAAACCATGGGGATGTAATGTACAGCATAGGGAATAGAATCGATAATATTGTAATTACTCAGTATGGTGACAGGTGGTAACTAGACTTGCCATGGAGATCATTTCACAATGTATCAAAATATCGAGTCACTATGACGTATACCTGAAGCTAATAGGGCATCGTATATCAATTATACTTAAAATTTTTAAAACTGCAATCTACGCATAGCCTGCTCTTCCATCCTCCGATGTAGTTTTTCTCACCATTATCAGTTGCTAACTACATATGATATTTTAATTTTTTTGTTTATTATCTGTTTTTTCCCCCACTAGAATACAAGAACGTAAACTGCAAACACTTAGAATTTTGTTTTCCTCTGTGGTTCCCCTAATGCCTAGATCCATATCTGACCCATAGTGGATACTCAGTACTGTTTGTCGAATGAGCGAATGGGCTATGAAACAAATATAAAGAACGTGGTGCCCAGAAGATTGGCACAGAAATGTGTGTGCTCAAATGCGTGGGTGTAGGGTTTAGGGCCAAGCAGTCACTGGAACCAAAATGTTAGCAACTCATCAATATTAACATATTGGTTAATATTTTTAAAGTTATTGACAGAGACCGTAATGGGTGACCATTTTATTTTACTTGCTTAATTAATGTTTGCCTTTATGAACATCATTTTGTGTAAATTAAAAAGGGGCTTATGATACTTGAGAAAGGGTCAGAGTAGAATGCTGTTTCATTACGAGTTAAAGAATGAAAGTCATGGAATATTGGAATATTGCCATAGAACAAAGACATGGTCCTGGTAAGGATTTTTTTTTTTTTTTTAAGTAAATAGCGAGTAGTGTCAAACATTTGAGAACTCTATACTAGAGGCTGATTTTAACAGAAAAGAGATAAAGTTCACCATATTTAATTAACATATCTTTACTTAGGTGAAGGTAAATGTGAAGGTCTGGATATAGGTGACAATCCGTTTGCGGTCAGAATCATGTCAGAAAGAGACAGAATTACTAGAACACATTGTATTTTGTTGCTGTATCAGAGCGGCTGAAGGAAGACAGTTCTGATCAGGCCAAAGGTGAATGTGGAAAACGATCATCCTATCCCATGGAAAACGTGTTACTACATGGGCACCGTACTTGAACTTGCTTTAGTTGGTTTCAGAAGAGCAAAGTGGAAAGGATTCTAATACAGAGGCACATTGTAACTGATGAAGGGAAATTATAGTTTAGAACGACGTGGCTCGTCCAGGGTCCCTGAGGAAGGTCAGAGCCACAACTTAAACCAAAGTGATTTAAGAAGTTCCTGGATCAGGTTATTTGTGTTCTATTTATGTTTTCTTAATTCGTTTTATTCAATGATGTACTGTCAAGGTCTCTTATGTGTAATGACTATTCTAACCACTGTGCATACAGCGTTGAAAACAACCTCTTCCTGGGGCACCTGGGTGGCTCAGTGGGTTAAGCATCTGACTTTGGCTCCGGTCATGATCTCACAGTTTGTGAGTTCGAGCCCCGCATCGGGCTCTGTGTTGACAGCTCAGAGCCTGGAGCCTGCTTCAGATTCTGTGTCTCCCTCTTTCTCTCTCCCTTCCTGGCTCTCTCTCTGTCAAAAAAAGGAAACAACCCCTTCCTCCTCCTCTTCTAACGTAGACGGACAGACAAAATGAAAATGGGCACTCAGCTGGAGAGGGATAAATACTATGGAGAAAACAAAGCTGGACAAGGAGATAGGAAGCAGCTGTGGTGGAGGAGGGGCTCAGCAAAGGAGAAGTTGGCTTCAGGGCAGACCTCAGGAGGAGGAGGGGTGGCCCCTGCTGCTATGTAAGGAAAGAGCTAGAGCACCGGCTCTAAGATGGGCTGGCCGGCAGGCTTGAGGGATGCAAGGAGCTCGGTGTGGCTGGAGCTCCACAAACAAGGGGGACATTTGGAGAGCAGGAGGGAATAGGGCAAGGTAGAGCTGGATCGCGGAGAGCCTCTGGCTGTTTCAACAACTAGTCTTTTACTCTGAGCAAAACCACCCCCGGGCCACGTGAGGGCTTTGAGCAGAGTATCCGAGTTTGGCGTATTTTGGAAAGGCTCAGTGTGGCTTCTGTGTGGAGGGTAGGTGTGAGAGTGCAGGGGTGGAAGCAGGGGAGGGGTGGAAGGGATTGTGTGATGTGGGCAGCAGGAGGTGGGGGCTTTGACCAGACCGGTGGGGAGGTGGAGGTCAGGTGCACCCAGATCTCAAATGTAGAAGGCAGAGCAGACAGGATCCACGGAGAGGTTGGATGATGCGTGTAGAAGAAGGGGGGTGGGGGATGTAACGGGAACTCTTGAGGCTCCTGTCCCGAGCAACTGGAAGAACTGAGTTGTCATTTGCTGAAATAAAGAAAACTACGTGAGGGACAAGGTCAGAAGGTCTCTTTTAATCTTTGTTCCCTTGTAACTTATTTATTTGTGGAAGAAACTAGATTGCGTAACCTGTAGAGTTTCACACTGCAGAGATTTTGTGGACTCTTCCCTTGGATCTCACTTAACATAGTCCCCTCCCCCTGTATGTCCTAGGAGCTGGCAGTGAGGACTGTAAGCGCGATGAAATTCAGGTTTGATGTGGGCCAACACTGCCTGCCATGCAGCGTTGTGTTCCAATCCCACCAGAAGACACAGCTCCTCTGGTTGGTTGTAGTACCAGCCGTGAGTACCGTTGCTTAGCTCCTTCTTGTCAGAAGTTCCCAAACGATGGTCCTCTGGTTCCCTCAGTTAATCTTCATGTATGAGCTGAAGTATGTCCATAAAGAGACCGTTAATTATGTTACAGAACATGCAGGTAAGGTAGACTAGATGCTTGATTCTTTGTCCTTATTTCCTAAAATTCAAAACAATGAGTTAGTTATCTGGCATTTCCCACAGTTGAACATTTTGTTTTATTTTCATGAATGCCTGGAATTAAACATACCAGATGTATTTTATTCCATTGCAGGAGATTCTTAGTGATGTTAAAATCATCCTTCTCTGTTCCGGGGGGGCTTTGAGCTGCCCTCCGTTTCCAGTAGCTCATTTGTTTCTATGTGATGTTACGTTCCAGGCTTATCTTGTACATTTTCAGCCCTGGAATCAGTCACTTCACCTGGCAGCCCGGTTTTCTCTTAATGAAAAATCCTATTGGGTGATGACAATCTGGTGCCACAGGTTGTCCTTGTTTGGGGCCTTTTCCAGTGGTCGGAGCTAAGACATAGGTCTACATTTTTAAAAAAGAAAAATTATGGGTTCATAGTGATGCTTCTAATTCAAATTCAAGAGTACATAAGGTTATATTTCAGACTCATCAACCTTACGTTTGCTTCTCCTTTTCGCACATGGAAATTTTCAGGGTCCAAAACATCAAGGTAATTACTCATTTGTGTTGTTGCCCAGGTATAGAGCATTTCAATAACAAGATGCAGGGTCCAGGTTCATCCAAAAGGTCAGGTGAAAATATTTGTTGACAAGATGAGGGTGCGTTTTCTGATTAGCGCAAACAGCATAGACAAAGATTCTGAGGCCTGAGAGAGCACAGTTCCTTTCAGAAAGCGCAGATACTGTTGTATCAGAGGTGTGATGGGTTAGAGCGTCAGGAAGGAGTGGGAACATAGCGGGCTGTGGATATTAGTATCAACGGGAGACATAAGCTGTCCGTTCTGTGTTCCGGAGGTATCTTGCATTTGTTCTTAATAAGAAATACTTCGGGACTCCCGGGGGCTCAGTCGCTTGAGCGTCTGACTTGAGCTCAAGTCATGATCCCACAGTTGGTGAGTGCGAGCCCCACATCGGGCTCTCTGCTCTCAGCGTAGAGCCCACTTGGGATCTTCTGCCCCCCCCCCCCCCCCCCGTCTCCCTGCCCCTCCCCCGTTCATGCTTGCATTCTCGCTCTCTCTCCCTCTCAAAAATAAACACTAAAAAAAAAAAAAAACCCATTTCTTTCTACTTTGTCTGTACAAGCAGGACTTCTCGGATAGAAGTTTAAGGTTAGCTGTCCTCAACCCTGTTCTACGTTGAGTCAGGGAAGGTGGAGCCCAATTATTTTCTGCTGCTTGCAGAAGCATTTGCGTCCTAACGACCCGTTTTCATCGTTATGTTTCTCCCCACAGAAGACAAAGTGTGGACCATCGTGTCTCACGATTTGCAGATGCAGACCACGGTGGCGGGCTACAGCCCAGAAAAATACTCCGTGACGCAGCTCGTTTACAGCGCCTCCATGGACCAGATCAGTGCCGTCACCAGCAGCGCTGAGCACTGTGAGCAGTACGTCTCCTACTTCTGCAAGATGTCCAGGCTGTTGAACACCCCAGGTAGGCTGTGAATGGAGGGTTCCTTTTAATTACTGTCCCAGCTGGTGCTTGGAATGACCGCCACCACCCAACAGGTGTGACTTAGCATCTCCCAGTCCGGCCTCCCCAAGTGCAGGCAGCTGTGACCAAAGTCAACTCGCACTTGGTTTGTTTTCTGGAGAACGAAACTGACAAAGTACGATGTTAAGGAAAAAAAAAAAATTCCCTGGTCTGCAACGTCCAGGTTTTTCAACTTTCCTCACCTACATATGTGCACGAGTGTTTCTGGTGCTTAATGATCAGTCGTGGCTTCGGGCAAAGGTGTCTCCAAGCCTCTTGTGAACTTTCAAGCGATGCCCTCTGAGCTGTTCAGTTGTGTTTAAGGAGAAGCTGAAAGGCCGCCCGAGATGAATAGCGTGTAGCACAGCGATAGAATTCAGAGCCCTTTGCTGTCTGCAGTCATTTAACAGGATCCGTTTGTCTCAAGGAGCTCAACCTGATTGTTTCGGTGTGGGACGGCTTACTTTTAGCCATGCTTCCGAGTGTGTGTGTGTGTGGGGGGGGTGTGCGTGTGCGTTAAAGGTATAAAAACTAGCGTCCAAAGGATGCACTGGAAATAGAGATCCGTGTGCTTTGGGGTTCTTGGCCACCAATTCAAGACGTTGACAGAAAACGAAATCCCTCAGTCTGTAGTATGGCAGAGCAGAAATAAAGCATGCGCTCTGACCACACTTTTCAGCCGTGCCGCTCTCCAGGTGTGCGATTTGGGTGGCGTTGATTGAACTCGTAAGCCTCAGTTTCCAGTCTTTTTCATTCAGATAGGAATCATAATGCGTATTGCAGGTGAGTGAGAATTTAATAAGTACATGTACTAAATGCTGACTGCAGGGTTTGATCCACTTAAGGACTTTATAAATAGCAAATAGCGTACTGATTATTTGTAATAGTAAGCAATAGAAGTGACATCATGCCACATCACAGACCCATGGGCTATTTGATGCCCCAAATCGGTGTTGGATTAGAGGCAGTATTATGTGGAATAGCTTACAAAGAAGAGTTCTAATAAAACATTATACGGTATTTTGAAGATTTGCGTGTATTTTATGCACTGAAATTATAGACAAGTGTAACCTCTAGAATCTAATAGTAAAATCTAGGGGCGCCTGGGTGGCTCAGTGGGTTAAGCATCGGATTCTCTTTTTGGCTCAAGTCACGGTCTCACAGTTTGAGTTTGAGCCCCACACTGGGGCTTGGGAGTCTGCTTGGGATTCCCTCCCTCCCTCCCTCTCTCTTTCTCTCTCTCTCTCTCTCTCTCAAAATACATAAAAATTAACTTTAAAAGTAAAATCTGTAAAAAAAAAAAAAGTACATGTGGACACGATTGGTTCAGACAATTAGTGCTTCTGCTGTTTGAAGAAAGAAGAGATGATTGTGGCTGGGATGTTGAGGTGCTCAGAGGCAGAGACACAGTTTGAGGACGTTGAAGGAGGGTAAGCCAAAGGCTAGTTTCTAGTCTGTTTTTAAGCAGTACTCAGTTACATTTCTAATAATAAGTTCAGGGCGCCTGGGTGGCTCAGTCAGTTAAGCGTCCGATTTTGGCTCAGGTCATGATCTCACCGTCCGTGAGTTCGAGCCCCGCGTCGGGCTCTGAGCTGACTGCTCAGAGCCTGTAGCCTGTTTCGGATTCTGTGTCTCCCTCTCTCTCTGACCCTCCCCCGTTCATGCTCTGTCTCTCTCTGTCTCAAAAATGAATAAACATTAAAAAAAATTAAGTAAATAAAAAAATAATAAGTTCAACACACTAAATCAAAGTCAGGAGTTCACTGCTAATCTGCACAATAGCAGACTATTTTCTTGGGATTCCAGATATTGTGTTTCCAGACATTTGTAGATGATTATTGTACATAATAGATTATGCTCTGAAAATAAGTTTATCATATGCTGCTTGCCTTTGAAGATGTGTGTGTGTGTATATGTATACATATGTATATATACATAATTATATATATGTATATGTATATACATATATATGTATAATTTTTACTCACAAGAGATTAGTGCTTAATAAATGTTTGCTAATTGGAATGAACTGAAAATACATCATTATATAATTTTAACTATTATCTCATCCTACCTTCGGGCAGTTGGTTTAAACCTATGTGTGCATTAGAATTCTCAGATCTGTCAAAATGCTGATTGCATGGCCATATTCTTGGAACTCTCATTCGGTAGAACTTGGTTGGGACCCACGAATGTTTGCTTTTAAAAAACATTCAAGAGTAGTTTTGTGGACCATACACTAAGAAACACCATCTTTAATTTAAAGCATGAAGGTCTCTCATGTTAGACTTTAAGGTTTGAGTTCTCCATGGTGGAGAAGATTAAAGGAAATATTAGAGCTTGTCTAAGCAATTAAACAAAAAGGGCATACCTAATTTCCTGCTCCTTCAGCTAAACCAAACTGGCACTGTAGTATCTTTTAATCCTTTGCATAGACCAGTCTCTAAAGGTTACAGAGTGAATTTCCGCCCACCCTTTTTTTTTTTTTTTTTTAATGTTTTATATACTTTTGAAAGAGAGAGACAGCACGAGCAGGGGAGGGACAGAGAGAGAGGGAGACACAGAATTTGAAGACAGGCTCCAGGCTCTGAGCTGTCAGCACAGAGCCTGACGTGAGGCTCGAACTCACGGACTGTGAGATCATGACCTGAGCCGGAGTTGAACAGTTAACCGACTGAGCCACCGGGGCGCCCCATTTCAGCCCACCCTTCTGAGTCATTCTTCATCCGCCCGACTTCTGTTTTCCAGGCTAGCTAATCTGTAGAACAGCTGAAGCAAGGAAAAGGAGTAGTTGGGGTAGCGAGTGTTTCCGAATGATGGCATTCTGTATACGTCCAAATAAGAAAGAACACAATTTAATAAAAATCTTTAATTTGCTGTTTTAAGGAGCTAATGTTTGCTGTAATTGGTTTTTTTTTTTTTCCTCCTTCCTGGTAACATTCAATTTTAAATATCCATTTACTCGTTCTTAACTAAGACTGAATTATATTGGAACTTCTGTAGTACTCCTAGTGACATCTGTTTGAATACAAAGTATATTCATTATAGTCATGGCAATTAAAATGAATATCAAATGAGTTTGTAATAGCTATGCACTTAAAATGTTATTCTTTATTTTAAGAGCCTTACCCTCAAGAGTTCATTTGGGTCTCTATAGTTTCTAATGATACTTATGATAAAGAGTTGTTTGTATGCATAAGGACCTCATTTTTATTTTGATAAATGTTTGGTTGTACCATACCATTAGCTCACCAATGTAGAATTACTCATCATTGGTTTCTTGCAACTTTACAAGGGTAGTGTAATATATTTCTTGCAATCTTATCTCTTCTTTTTATTACTACAAAATTTTAAAATGGAATCCATTTTACGGTAATGATTTTGCCATTTTTTATGGTCATATCTGTTCTTGCCATGTAACTATTAATTCAGTTGTCCTTATCAGCTTTATAAAAGACACAGAAACAAGACAAATAAAGTTATTTTATTCCATAGAAGAGCCTGTTTGGAGTGAGGCATACCAACTTGGGAATGAACAAATTGTACTTAACGAAAACCATTAATGGATATCAAAAACCAAAAGGATATTAGCATGTTTTATATTTATATCCCCAGAACTACAAATGTAGTAATATCTGAACTTACAAAGGCAAAAATGGTTAAACAATGAAATCTACTTCTGAAATAAATACCTTAAGAACCTGAATTTGTTAAGCTAGATACCAAGAGAAAGTTTCATTGCATCCCACTTGAGAAATGTCTTAGTCAACAATCTTAATATTTTAGATAAAATATTTCACTGTATTTTGACAAAGACCTACTAGCCTGCTTTTAAAATTCTTATTTTCATATCTTAGATGCACTGTTGCCCTATATTTATTTTATAAAACATTGTACTTTTAATTAAGAATTTTTTTTTATTGTTGAGGTATGTATTCCTTACATCTATAAAGATTTAATTGTAGAGGTATAAAGTTGATATGATTCCTATTTCTCTGACTATACTTAGTGTTGTTTTCTTTGGTTTCCAGTGTTTCACTTCCTTTAATTTCTCAATGTAGTCTTATTCTATTCTCGTAAGTCATAGTTTTATTGCTTCTTTTGTTGAAAGAAGCAATATAAATTATCCATGCTTTGGGGTAGTTTACTATTGGATTTTGTATCTATTGAAAAGGAATTATGTTCACAATTTTTGCCTATAAAGTAAGCTGTGTAAAATTCAACATACTTTGAAGATACTAAACAGTGATTTAGTGGCATCCAAAGGACAAGAAAACATGACTCTAGTATTATAACTTATAACCTATTTTTAGAAGAAATTTCTAAACTTTGGTGAAGTTATTAAGAAGGCGAACTTTCCAAGTTGGTGCTATGCCTTGTAAGAAGCCATGATGTTTAACTCTTGAAACAATGTAGATAAAAACATTGCTTGATTGCCACTAAAGACTAACATTTTCATTGTGTCTAGTCAGTATATTAATTCAAAGATGAATAATTTAGCTAATTAATTATTGTGTTAATTATTACTAAAACTGGAGGGTTTAATTAAATGGGGCAAGCAAGGAAGGTAGAAATAACTAAAAGGTAAAAGTAGCGGATTAAATCTGGTAATATTCCACACCCAGGCAACTAGACTGTCCATAGAGGACATTGTGGTTAAAAGGGACAGAATGGTCACAGGGAAAATAGAGGCTATTTCAGCAGTATGGATAGGAGTTGATGAAGGCCTCAGCTGGAATAATGGTTGAGATCATCAATCAGTCCACAGATATTTATTGTTTATTGCATATCAGGAATTGTGACCTATAAGCTGACATGTGGATTCATATGAGTTGCCTAAGAAAAAAATGGCAGGGAGAATTCTCGGTTAGAGATATCAGAATGTGCAGTGTTTCTGAGATGGACGTCAAAGGACACATACTTGGAAAGACATGAGAATGGATGGAGTAGAGACCTTGAGG